CCGGAAGTTTAGGGGTTTTGGGCAATCAATTATTGTCAGATAAGCATGCTTTTGTACCTTATTTTGTGACAATGGTAGGTCGCGAATTGGCGTGGGGTCCAGGGTGCGGAGCCCCAAGAAGCTCAGGGGTTTTGGGCATTAAATAACGGTCAGATGAGCATATGTTTATATCTATTTGTGACACTGGCAGGACACAAATTGGTGTTGGGTCCGGGGGGAGGAGCCCCAAGAAGCTCAGGGGTTTTATACATTAAATTATATTAATAATAATAATAGCCTAATAGTCCACTCCAAATTTTATTAAGCCGAAACGGAAATTCTTTTTGCCCAATTGATCATGAGTCCGGCAGCCCACTTAGCAGCGCCAGATCGACGTTGCTCTATCCCTTATTGTTGAACGCCAAACAAGGTAGCAACAACTCCCATCTTTTAACGTCTTTTGGTATGACGCGGCCGGGGTTCGAACCCACGACCTCCCGGTTGTGAGGCGGACGCTCTACTGACTGAGCCAACATTATCGTCAGATGAGCATATTGTATACCTTATTTGTGACACTGGTAGGTCACGAATTGGCGTGGGGTCCAGGGGGCAGAACCCTCGGAAGTTCAGGGGTTTTGGGCAATAAATTAGTGTCAGATGAACATGATTTAATACCTTATTTGTGACACTGGTAGGTCACGAATTGGCGTGGGGTCCAGGGGGCGGAGCTCCCGGAAGTTCAGGGGTTTGGGGCAATAAATAACTGTCAGATGAGCATGCTTTTATAGCCTTTTATACGTTAAATTATCGTCAGGTGAGCATGTTGTACACCTTATTTGTGACACTGGTAGGTCACGAATTGACGTGGGGTCCAGGGTGCGGAGCCCCAAGAAGCCCAGGGGTTTTCGGCAATAAATAACGGTCAGATGAGCACATGTTTATATCTATTTGTGACACTGGCAGCACACAAATTTGTGTTGGGTCCAGGGGGCGGAGCCCCAAGAAGCTCAGGGGTTTTATAAATAAATTATCGTCAGTTTAGGCAAGTTTAGGGGTTTGGGGCAATAAATAACTGTCAGATGAGCATGCTTTTATACCTTATTTGGTGACACTGGGAGGTCGCGAATTGGCGAAGGGTCCAGGGGAGGAGCCCCCGGAAGTTCAGAGGTTTTGGGCAATAAATAACTGTCAGATGAGCATGCTTTTATGCCCTAGTTGTGACACTGCCAGGTCACGAATTGGCTTGGGGTCCGGGGGCAAAGCCCTCAGAAGCTCAGGGGTTTTATACGTTAACCTTTCCCTCCTCTCCTCCAGTGTGGGAAGGTCAAGAACATTGAGGGCATCATCATAACTCGTGTATCTTTGGCCAAGCATGAGGCGACACGCTCGTTTCTGAATTCTCTCTATCAGTTTCTTGTCTGCCCAAGTCAGACCTGAATGCCAAACAGGTGTGCAGTATTCGACTTTTCGGGCGCACGTACGAACAATACACAAATTTCAGATCCTCAACAGGTAGCCGAAAACCTTTCAAGATACGCATCATGTGTAGCCTCATGCTTGCCGCCTTGACCATTTCTGTGACATGATATGACCATTTTAAGTCCTCCTGTACAAACACACCCAAAAGTTTAACTAGTTGTACTTCACTTATTTCCAGGTCACCAATTTTTACCTTTGGGACGATTGCCTGGTTTCTCATGAACTGAATGTTCATGACGACACATTTGCTAGGGTTCAGTTTCATGCTATTGTCTTTGGTCCATTTCTCAAGTTCATTTACCACTTCTTGGATTTTGGGTTGATCCGTTGCCTTCCTACATTCAAGCAGGGAGAGGTCGTCGACGTATTTCCAACACTGAACATCACTGTCCTTGAACACGTCGTTGATGATGCAGAGAAAGATAAGCGGCCCAAGTCGAGTGCCCTGTGGGGCACCTGCTGAGATCTCCATCCAGTCAGAGAGCTGTGACATGTAGCGCACACATTGTTCTCGATTGGAAAGGAAGCTGGAAATCCATGCCACCAAAGACGGGGATGCCCCCATTTCGAGTAGTTTCCTAACCGCTAGTCCACGATCTATCCTGTCGAAAGCTTTGCTGAAATCTTTAGCCACCAGTGTTGTGACCGTTTTCGTATTTTCGGCATTCCGATGGATGGTATTTAGTATATCTATCAGATAATGTGCAGTCTATAACTATAAAATACATGTGTTTAAACTGCTGTTTCTTGCAGCTTTCATAAATTTTGAAATTCATGGTGTTTTTGGAAATTGTATAAGGTTTTACTCTGTGAATTGTATCATTAAATGAAACATCTTTACTCAAGATGAAATGTTGTTCAATGATTCTTCTACTTGTACCTTTTTGTTTTATCTTAAATTAATATTTGACACAATTCAAAACTAACGTAGTTTTTCATATTTCTATAACTGTACATAAACATACTAGAATATGAAAAGGAAATTATTACATATTTAAATTTTGTATAGATATTTCACGCTTCTAAGTATGTATTAACTACAGTAAAAAATATATATATAAAAAATGACGCACTTTTTACATTCTAGCATGTCAAACAGGTGACATTAAGTGTGGGCCTCTTCACATGTTACACTGTTCATATCTACTTCTTCATCAACTCATTATTTTGAAGGAAAATATTCTTGACATTGACAACTTCCATCAGACCTAAACAAAAAGCAAGTTGTATTGCCCTTTGCGACCGACCCAAAAATCTTAAAATCTACGGTCGTTTTATTTAACCGTTTTTTATAAGAAAAAAATTATTAAAGCATTCAAAACTGAGAAACATCAGCCCAAAGATGGAGTGGAAAAAAAGTTTAAAAAAGGTGGGGAAAATAGATTTCCGACCGACCGACCCATGTTTTGGCACCTAAAGGGCCTCATATAATAGTGGTGTATCAAGCGATTGAAAAAAGGGGATGCGATTCCTTGTTCATCGCACACGTTCGTTAATCCCTAATCGTATTTTTTTTTCTTGGGGGGGGGGAGCAGCGGGCATCAAACTTTGACTACAGTCTTTATGGATATGTCACTGTTCCTCGTATCTAAAAGATAAGTTGTGATGCTGAAATAAACTTATAAAATACAAATTGTTAGAAATTACTGAATATACACTATTGCCTGTCACTCTTCCTGTGAGGGGAATCGGGTTGTTATTGAAAGTCGCATTAGAATGATTATTTTTCTTCCGAAATGGCGATGAATCAGAGAGAGGGAGAGAGAGTGAGGGAGAAAGAGAGAGTGAGGTAGGTTGAGAGAGAGAGAGGGAGAAAGAGAAAGAGAGGGGGAGGGAGAGAGAAAGAAACGACGAGGCAATGAGTTTTCGTGGGAAAAACCAAGCGCATAATCCCAGCGTTTTAAGGTATAGACCAGTTCTGGTCATGCGATTGCATTGTGAAAGAAACGTTGTGGAATCTATCAGAAAATGTTGATCATCTAGCATATAAGTATTGGTGTGTACTGCAAGGTTCTGGAATCATCAAAATGATAAGAAATTTGGCCCTGTCTTGGTAAAGTTACAAGCACTGTACACAGAAAGATGTATATGGGACTAGGCGATATCTATCCAGTCCGGATAGATTTAATAATTTACCAAATATATCAATTAGTAGGCGGTTTCCCGGCAAAATTTGTATCATCACGTATTAGTCAAAACATATTATTTCACATGATTGGTAATAAGAGCTTTCATTTCATTTTTTTGAGAGGGAGGCGTTTCCAAAACTGGTCTATATAGTCTATTCCGAAATCGGAAGGTACTATTACGTCGGAAGTTCAATGACGTACATGTATATCTTCTATGATAACACATGGTTTTATCGTGTGACAACAGAACTAGTGTCTACTTTTACATTAGACTGCTTTTTGTTTTGCCCATAGGCCTACAATGTTTAAATTTCTATATCTCGCCTTTAGATCCTTTGTGCCTATAGCTAGCTGGAGTTAATTAGACATTAACAAGTTGCTTGATCATAATTATGCACACGGTGATAACGAAGGGAGAATTTTGAGAACTGAGATAGCTAAATCGTTGAACTTCACTACATGGTTCCTCAGACACTGTATATGCTGTGAGTATAATGGGATACAATGTAGCTGACTTCTTGCTAAAGGTTAGGTGCCATGTTTTAGGCCAATGTTGTGCGGGAGAACATACGTGCCGTACCAACAATATATATCATAAATGTATTGTAAATGCGTTGGACAATGAAGTGCAATGAGCATATGCGAATACACAGTCTCCTCGTCTTATGGCAAACTAATGTCACTTCCATTATGGTATATGTACGGTCTCCTTAATCTTAGCTACCATCACCATCCTTTAGGGTAAAATCTCGGGTGTAAGCTTTAGTGTAAAGCACCATCCAGTGTCAATTCATTAAAAAATTCTGCCAAACTCTGCTATTATACTGAACTCATGCTGAAATCAAATTATAAGCTCTTGCTCTCAAATTAACAGATTGGTCTAATTTATGGAGGAGCGATAGCTCAGTCGATAGAGCAATGGTTTCGTAATCCGGTGACCCGGGTTCAAAACCAAGACGATGCGCTAGTGCCCTTTGGTAAGGCATTAATCCTCATTACCAAGTCCCTCGGAGAGGACCTAAGTCGTCCGCCGTCTGGTTCCTTACTTACAATCATTTATGCTTTCTTAGCAGTCAGGTAAAATAACCAGCATCACCAAAGGAGCGGAAATAAAACGGTGTCTTAAGTACCGGAAAGGGGGGGGTGGAGGCTGAGCATCTTTTACATTGTTCATCTGTGTATTTGTTGTGGTTATAATTCAAATACTTTAACAATAAATATTGATGTATTATTAATATAACGCTGAAGGAGATAGAAATAATATAGTAAAAATGTTAGCCTTGTGTATTATATGATCAAGACAGTATACGATGTATTCCTGCAGAGATAACTGTTAAAAATTTACTGTTTGGTTAATTAGACTCATTTGATTTATTTATTCATTATGACTTTACCAGACCATAGAAAATAGTATTATTAACGCACTTTATTAACAGGGAAATGTCGTTGGCACAATTGCTCATTTCAAGGATTTCTTTGTTTCTTACCAGACATATATCACCAGAATGGCCTCTGCAAGGCAACATCTAACAGACAGTCTGCAATGTCCAATCTGCAAGGAACTTCTCACCAAGCCGAAGCTTCTACCTTGCTCACACACATTCTGTGAAGGTTGTCTCACCCAACTCCACTCAACTCAAGCTCTGGGTAATCAGATAAAGTGCGCTGTGTGTCGCTCTGTTGCACCTCTATCCAACAATAATGTATCCAACTTTCCAACCAATCGAATTGCCCAGTCCCTTGCAGAAGATTTCAAAGAGAGATCGGACAGGAAGAGAGCGACCGATTCAACGGATGGCGCTTCTTCTGGCCAACGTTGCACTTTGTGTGATGCTGATGATCAAGGACTTGCTACCTTCTACTGTCAGCATTGTTCAGAATTCCTTTGCGACTTTTGTCTTGAGCAGCACAAAAGGTTTACGCAAATTGGCCATCACGAGCTCGTTAGTGCTAGATACATCGCGTCAGGGGAAATCAGAATACAACTTGCGTGTATAGAACATCCCAGAGAACTGCAGCAGTTTGTGTGTATCACATGTCTGGTTCGCATCTGTTGTAGGTGTTTGGAAGTGGGTCATCAGTCTTACAGGCATGAGGTCATCGGAATAAAAGAGTATGAAAAGAGCCACAAAGCAGCAGTTGATTCTTTGCAGGAAAAAATAGAACAGAAAACTGCTTTGATACAGAGACAATCGTCCTTTGTGGAGGAGCGGATTGGCAAGGTTGAAAATATTATCGGTCAACGAAGGCACGAAATCGAGAATGTCTTTGAGGGTGCTGTCGAACGAATACGACGAAGGAAAGATCAACTGCTGGGAGAGTGCAACACCTATCAGAAATCGCTCTGCGAAGATCTGAAAGGAATCATCCAGTGCTACGATGACTACCTTGAAAACCTAACAGCCAAGATTACTGTAGTCACCGAAGATCTACTTCTCAACGCCTCGACCAGTCGTTGCCTGAGCGTGTCGCACGAGTTGCTGAGCTTGAGACTCTCGTGAAAGGCGCCAACCCGGATGCATCTCCGGCTGAATCTATAGCACACCGTGCAGAATTCCTGACCTTCCACAAAGCTGCAGAGTCCTCAGTTCTTGACCTTGGAACTGTTAAGGTCAAGAACTGGGGAGCTTGTGAGATTTTATGAAGGTGTAACATGTTTGGCTGCGCGCCTGTGGCAGCTTTTGTGTGATCTCTTTCGATTACTTGCTATATTTCTACTTTTTATTGTAATTTTACGTTTGATTTTCTGAATGCCCGTTTTGTTTGGATTAGAAATTATATCATATTGTATAATGTGATTTTGAAAATGCACATCAATATTTCTTTTTATTTTGTGTGTGTCTTTTATCTCTATAGTGGAGAAAGAAGTATATGTAATTAGAAGTAAATGTTGAAGTAAAGGTCTGGAATGAGCCAAATTGATGGTAGGGAGGTAATTAAGTCAGCTATGCCAGGGATTGTTGTGCTGGCAAAGTATTATTATGTTGATAACTAGGATGGTATGACTTAGCACCTGTTTCGGGTTCCACACATTTCGTGTACATAGAGGGTTGGCACAGTCTGAGACTCTGCCACACCTCAATTTTGATGTCAAGAGGCATACAGGATTTGGTTCTGCTCTGCAGATATTGCGGATTTTCTTATGATTTTCTTCCTGGGCAGAAATTGCTGAGTTTCTTTTAATGTCAAGAGACAGATGGTTTTGGTTCTGTTTAGCAGAAATGGCTGATATATTTGAGTTTTTTGAAAATGCAACCATTGGTAAGCGATTTGAATGTTATATTTTACATTGTATCACTTGGTTGTTTGTTAATGTATGATGGCATTATAAATGTCAGGGAAATAAAGGTATGAAACTCCCCTTGAACTGTGTGGAAAAATGAAGTGTGATTTAGTGGCTTCTCTCTGAAATAGAAAGGAAAAGAGAAACATTTTCTAGCACTGGATTGTGAAAGATAGTTTAATTCCAGTCGTTCTATATAAATAAAATGAATAAGTGTTTATGTTAATTAATAGAGTATGAACACCGACTAAAAAATGTATGTATGTACTCTGAAATTGAGATAGTTCGAAACCTAGCTCGAAACCTAGTAGCATTTATTTTCCGTTTGATTAAAAACAAATATACAATACAAGTATATACATGAGTATGAATGAAACGGCTGGATAACCCATATACAGCTGTGCCAGGCATGACACTACTGGTCTTCCATGGGTCCAGAAAGTGCCAATGGTTTTCGAGGGCTATAAAGTGGAGCTCAACCTTTCGCAAGAACGTACGGACATTTGGTTCAACGTCACCGGCAATGACTAGGGAACAACTAATGGTGAGCTGTATCATACCATCTTGATTTTGCTACAAATGAAACTTTGGAGACATACAGCGAAAGAAATCGTGGAAAATTAGTGACGACGACATGAGTTATATTACTACAAGCGAAATTGATTGTCAATGTTAAATGGTATACGTGTTGGATGTGTCGATTGTCCTTAGATGTCTTATGGTTTAATAATTCGGATCATATCCGAAGAGTATTTGGATTGCCATTGACTGACTTGAACATTTGTACAGAGTAATATTTATTAGAGACTCTCAGGAGCAGAGGAGATTTGAATTCTATTTTAAAAAATTATGTTGCTCATTTTTTTGTTGTTCTTTTCTTTGTAATGACAAATGTACAATATTGTGGTTTCTTTTAAAATGAAACAAAAGAAGTTTTGGGTTGAAAAGAAATTTAATTAAGAAGGTACATATTTTTGGATATCGAGATGTGTATCTACTTCAGGTCTGTACAGGTTAAAAAAAAACATGGGATGCAAAGTGAATTATTGGGGGATATATCGAGGTTACTGCAGGACCTAATCCCAGTGAATTGAGTTTATAAAAAGAAAAGCAATAGAAGTGTAGGGGAATGTAGGTCAATTACAGAACCAAATTCCAGAGAGTCAAAGGAGGAGAGGAGGAGTAGGAGTTGCAACAAGACTTGCAAGTCTTGAGTTAATAATCTGATTTCCATGTTATATTTTCATTGTAACCCTTGAGGTTAAATTTGGGGTAATATTCACATATTTGTGTAGGGCTTTGTTTATATTTTTGGTTGAAATATCAGAACTAATTGTCTTTCTTCCTTTCAAAACCAGAATAAAGTGAGAGTATTGCTGTTTTCATCATTTTAAGTACAGATCAAATGTCCGAGTGTTCTTTATCATGATTTGTAATTTTCAATATCCTGGCATTTATTTCATTTTCAAGCTATTCTATTATATGCAACTGATTAAAACAAATTGTACATCCATACATATAACACTACAATATATTCAACAAGTGGTGCTTTCTTTGTAGTCTTCTGACCTTTGTCTTGCGTTATTTGGACAATAAAGCCGAAATCTAATTGATTTGAATTCTCCCTTCTATCCATTTTCTTTATTTATCTAGCCTCTCCTCTTAAAATTCTACACAAGCATACACCCCTCACTCACACACACACAACAACAACACACACGTAACCCACACCCAGGCGTCCCCGAATATGTGTGTCCTTTGGCCGATAGTTGTCGCTTTCTATGCAAATGTTTAAGCAGTGACATGCTATTTAAGGGCCTACTCGAAGACGTACCACATGGGTCTTTCGCGGAGCTTAACCCCTATGTATTCAATGGTATTTGGCCTGATTCTTTATCGACATAAAATTGAATGTATTGGCTTAAATGGTGTAATTTTCTCTTAAAATGGAATTAATTTGTGAGTCAAAATAATGCAATGTTTGATTCGTACATCACGTCTGAGTGAGGATTCCTATCCCCAAAGCAAGTTCATTAAAGGACAAATTTAAATTTCTAAGATATTGGAGAGCTGGCTGATAATTAGGTTATCACAGAGAAACCAATAAGTGTTTGATTCATCATACCCAAAATGTGTGGATCTTGTCCGGTGACCTCAAACGTCGGCGTTTCTCTTACTTTTCTGATCTATTAAAGCTTATACTTGATGGCAAAACGGAACTCCCTGTTAAAGGTCGAGTGACATCAAAATATAAGTTGATTTCTTTTGATGTGCAAAATTATTAAGAAAATTATTTAAAAATCTATGAAATATATATATATATATGTTTAAATAACAAATTATGAGTTGAATGCAGCCCCGCACATCAAAATAAATCAACTTATATTTTAATGTCACCCAACCTTTAACAGGGAGGTCTGACAATTTAAAACAAATGTTGTTTTCCATATTTCTATAACAGAAAACATACTAGAATATTAAAAAGCAATCATTACATATACTTTGGAATTTTGTATAGATATTTCACACTTCTAAGTGTGTTTAAACTACAATAACAACAAAATAAAAGATTACGCACTTTTTACATTCTCGCATGTGGGCCTCTTTACATGTGGCACTGTTCATATCTACGTCTTCATCAATTCACTATTTTGAGGACAAATATTCTTGACACTGAAAACGTCCATCATAGTGGCGTATCAAGGAATTGAAAAGTAGGGGATGCAATTCCTTGTTCAATGGGCAGGGACCTGGTATTGAACAGACTCACACACGTTCATTAATCACTAATCGTATTTTTTCTTGGGGGGCAGGAGCGGGCTTTAAACTTTGACTACAGACTTTATGGATATGTCACTGTTCCTTGTATCTAGAAAGATGAGTTGGGATGCTGAAATAAATTTAAAAAATACAAATCGTTAGAAATGACTGAATATACACTATTGCCTGTCACTCTTCCTGTTAGGGGAATCGGGTTGTTATTGGGAGTCGCAATAGAATTATTATTTTTCTCCCAAAATAGTGATGAATCAGAGACAGGGAGAGAGAGTGACAGAAATAGAGAGTGAGGGAGAGTGAGGTAGGTTGAGAGAGAGAGAGAGGGGGGAGGGGGGAGAGAAAAAAACGACGAGGCAATGAGTTTTCGTGGGGAAACTAAGCGCATAATCCCAGCGTTTTAAGGTATAGACCAGTTCTGGTCATGCGATTGCATGCGAAAGAAACGTTGTGGAATCAATCAGAAAAGGTTGATCATCTAGCTATAGCATATAAGTATTGGTGTGTACTGCAAGGTTCTGGAATCATCAAAATGATACGAAAGTTGACCCAGTCTTGGTAAAGTTACAAGCACTGTACACAGAAAGATGTATATTGGACTAGGCGATATCTATCCAGTCCGGATAGATATAATAATTTACCAAATATACCAATTATTAGGCGGTTTCCCGGCAAAATTTATATCATCACGTATTCATAGTCAAAACATATTATTTCACATGATTGATAATAAGAGCTTCCATTTCATTTTTTGAGAGGGAGGCGTTTCCAAAACTGGTCTATATCTTTAACGAGATCGGAAGGTACTATTAGGTCGGAAGTTCAATGACGTACATGTATATCTTCTATGATACTAAATGGTATTATCATGTGACAACAGAACAAGTGTCTACTTTACACTAGACTGCTTTTCGTTTTGCCCATAGGCCTACAATGTTTATATTTCTATATTTCGCATTTGGACTCTTTGTGCCTATAGCTAGCTGGAGTTAATTAGCCATTAACAAGTTGCTTGATCATAAAATATGCACACGGTGATAACGAAGGGAGCATTTTGAGAACTGAGATAGCTAGATCGTTGAACTCCACTACATGGTTCCTCAGACACTGCACATGCTGTGAGTATAATGGGATATAATGTTGCTGACTTGTTGCTAAAGGTTAGATGCCATGTTTTGGACCAATGTTGTACAAGAGAACATACGTGTCGTACCAACAATAATATCATTCATGTATTGTAAATGCGTTGGACTATGTAGCTACTATCAACATCCTTTAGAGTAAAATCTTGGGTGTCAAATTAAGTGTAATTACACATTTTCTTCTCTCAAACTCTGCTCTTTTTCTGAACTCATGCTGAAATTAACTCCTGCTCTCTGTACTTTTAGTAACGGGAAAGAGTTATGGACTGGAGGCTGAGCATGTAATACATTGTTCATCTGTATATTTAATTTTCTGATAATCATTCAAATACAATAAATATTGATGCATTATCATCATATCGGTGATGGAGATCTTCTTCTTGTCGAGTCACGACACAAGTCCCGTCCAGTGGTCCACACAGGCTTTGCACGTCAATTCACGGCTTCCAGGTCAGCTTGGGTGCATGGCTCTGGCAGGAGTGGGCAGACTAGCAGGTGTTCCATCGTCTGTTCCTGGCCGCATTCACATGCTGTTTGTTCATCTCCTAGACCCCATCTCTGCATTGGGACTCTGTGTCGTCCGTAGCCACTTCTTAGGTGGTTGAGGCTTAGCCAGGTAGGCCAAGTCTCACTGGAGCCGGATGCGAGGGATTCCTTCGGGCTGAGGGAGAGTTTATGTGGAGTGGTCTGGAGGTGGTTAAACCACAAAGTCATCCTTTGGTTTTGAGGGCTGGTATTAAGGGGCTCTACAGTGTGCAGAAAGCTGCGTTTGGATTTGAGCCGCTTGCCCACTGGCTGTTGTTCGAAGAGTGGGTGGGGTGGATTATTCTCTTGTTTGTCCTTTTCTTTCTGGGACAAAACCAGCCTTCTGACGTGTGGAGGGGGCGATACCGCAGAGCTGATAGATCTCTTCTACTTTAGTTGGCCTAAGGCAACCAGTGATTGCTCTGCAAGAGGAATTTAGAGCTGGATCGATCTTGGATGCATGGGCCGACATACTCCATACTGGTGAAGCATACTCCGCAGCAGAGAAGCAAAGCGCAAGGGCTGTCGTCCGGATTGTTCTGGCATCAGTCCCCCAGTTGGTGTTGGCAAGCTTCTTGAGGATGCTATTGCGGGCTCCAACTTTTGCCTTTGTGTTGGCAATGTGGTTCTTGTAGGTTAGGGATCGATCCAGTGTGACGCCTAGGTAGACTGGGTTGGGTGTGTGCTTCAGCCATTTCCCATACCAGCAGATCCTAAGTTGATGGTTGGCATCCCTGTTCTTGAGATGGAATGCATTTATCTGAGTTTTATCAGGGTTAGCTCTCAGGTGGTTGGTCGCGTAGTATGGAATGAGTCCGGCCAGGGAACCACTGAGGGACTCCTCCAACTTCACAAAAGACTGGTTCTGGGTGGCGATGCAGAGATCTTCGGCGTAGAGGAAGCTCCTAGTGTTTGGGTGGATCGGTTGATCGTTCGTGTACACGTTAAAGAGCAACGGTGCGAGCACACTTCCTTGTGGTAGGCCATTTTTCTGCCTGCGCCATCTGCTGCGATTGCCGTTGAGGACCACAAAAAAAAAATCGCCGATTGGACAGCAACGTCTGGATGAGTCCAGTCAGTCTCACATCCTTTGTCAGATCAAAGATCTTCCTGGTGAGGCTTATGTGGTTCACAGTGTCGTAGGCAGCAGAGAGATCAACGGAAGCAGCTCCGGTGATTAGCTTACTCTCATACCCGTCCTCTATGAACTTAGTGAGGTTTAGGAGTTGGCCAGTGCATGATTTTCCTGGCCTAAACCCTGCTTGTTCCGGAATGAGATGTTCATCCACGAATGGGGCGATGCGGTTGAGGATAAGCCGCTCGAACAGCTTATATGTATGGCACAGTAGGGAGATAGGTATGTAGCTCTTTGGGCTGGCAGCGTCTTTGCCAGGCTTCAACAGGACAATAACTTTGAGATTTCCTCCACAGCTTTGGGATGTTGTTGGTGCCCAAACATTCGTTGAACATTTTGAGGAGCCAGTTGAGGGCCCCTGGTCTAAATTGTTTGATCTGCTCGCAGAGGATGTCATCAAATCCAGCAGCTTTGTTGTTTTTCATTGCTTTGATGGCAGCAAGCAGGTCGTTCATGGTGAACGGTTCAGTGAAGCCTGGGACATCTTGAGAGTTTGGAGCGTCTGGAACCTTAGGGAGCCTGGCTCTTCTGGGGGTGATGATCAGGGTTTCCCCGGCCATTCACTAGGAGTTGGTGGGCAACTTGGTTGGCAGTGACTTGAGATCTTGGTTGGGCCTTTGTATAGTCGTTGCCCAGTATCCGGATCGTTTTCCATGCTTTCCTGCTGCTATGTGTCATATCGGTGGATTGTATGAATTCCTGCCACTTTCTCCTTCTAGATTCACCAATTTCCTTGGTCAAATTTTCTCCAGATTCCAGTGTCTCCTTACTAAAGGGGTCCATCAGAAAGTGTTCGATGTAGTCTTTATACATCACCTTGGAGTGGTCCGTCAAACCTTGAATGTAGCTTGTGCGACAGCCTCGGGTGATGTTACGCCTTGAGGATTTCTTCATCAACTCTACGAAGGTGTCGTAGTTTTTTTTTTGGGGGGGGGGGTGGCTGGTAGGTCTTGGATGTAGGAGTCAAAGTCCTTAGAAATGTTTTCCCAGTTTGCCTTCCTCAGATTGAAACGACGTCGGAAGGGTGCTGCTCGTGGAGTAATGACTGCATTAACCTTAAGTCCTATCGGATGGTGCTGAGAGTGAGGGATTGGGTCGAGAACGACTTTTTTGCACTGGTTAGCAATCCTGGTAGATGTAAATATCAGGTCAGGGTTGTAGCCACGTGTCCACCTTGCACTGTTGAAAGAGGCAGGAAGCTTAGCGTCATGAATGAGGGACAGTTGGTTAGAATCTGCCCACGTCTCAACAAGTGCACCGTCTTCGTTCATCTCTCTATATCCCCAGGTAGTGCTGTGGCTGTTGAAGTCACCAATGACCACATTCATCCTGCCGTCAGTAGCTCTGCCGGGCCTGTCAAAAGGCTCAAGAGGTGGCTTGTACACTGAGCTTATGGTGATTCCCATTAGGTAAATAGAAAGGACTTCAATGTTATTGCTGTCTGATAGGGAAGATTTGTCCACAGCAAGACCATGACGGGCAAAGATTGCGCTTCCGTACTGGTCATGTGGTCTCTCTTCGATGAGGGTCATTCCGGGGATACGAGGGCGAACTCGTGTAAGCCCGCGATGAGTCTCCTGGAGGCAGAGAATGTCACAGTTGGTTTTTATGCATAGGTCAGCCAAGAGCTCTTGTTTGGCGCCTGAAAGACCTTCAATGTTGGATGAGATGATACTCAGGGCCGGTCCTGACAAGGACCCATGAGTTCGACCCTGAGCCTCAGCAACAAATTGGTCATCATTGTCATTGGTAGCCATGGTGTTGGCTGTGGTAGTTACTAAAAGAACTTGGGTAGTGTGGTTAAAGGATTCGCAGATTTTCATCTGATAGGGACCGCATATTCATTTCATCCTTTCATCTTCACCACATACCAAGTCTTAAAACAGGTGGTATGTTCTCTTCTCATTTACATATTTCCACGTTTTACCTGTCATTGGTTCTCTTCTCCTTTTCCTTATGAATATTCAGTTTTAGTGTTAAATCCTATTTTGCTATTGGTTGATAATTTATTTTTAATTTGAATACACTTTGCATGAGGCTGCACGTGGACAGCATGCAAGATGTACAATAAAACACATGCAGAGCTGGACTGGACTTACACTGTGTGAGAGGTATCAATTTTGAGCTCTGTTAGCATTATAAGTTAGAGACTTAAGAGGATTTGTGGGTTTGGCAGTGGTTTGTATGATTGATGCTTAAAGTAGATATTCATTGATTTTTAAAACTAACTTTATTTTCATTAATGCAAAGTTGAAACTTTGATTCGACAAGGTTGTCAAAATTCAATGCTATTATAAATTACAAAACGCTTAAATACAGGGGTTTTCAATTTAAAAGTCTGGTTTATTTGATTGTTAATCAACCCCTATCCTGTGTATTTACAAGCAAAAGATTTTAGTTATCAGAATCGGGTCATATCCCCTTTTGAATGATTCGACATGCCATTACATTTATAAACGCTAAACTCATAATTTGACAAATAATAGCTTTGCAATTATGTTCATTCTTTAAGGGATGTCGTCTGTTTGGGCAGTATTGATCCATATAGTGACGTCATTAAAACATCGTTATTTTTCCGGCGAAACTCTCGTATATCCCAGCTGCTATGGAGGTGGTTGTATTTGTATTTTTTATAAATCACCCGATATGTAGTTGACCTAAAACTTGTACGATGGCCATCTGTTAGCTTACCAGTTTCTAGTGATACATTAGTTGATATACCTATTTGTGATTTTTTTTGAATTTCACCTTTAATACAGTGAATGATTGACAAGAGATAATTTATTAGTTTACGGCAAAATCGCTCATTTCAAGGATTTTGTTGTTTCCTACTAGACACATGTCAGCATAATGGCCTCTGCAAGGAAACATCTGAGAGACAGTCTGATATGTCCAATCTGCATGGGTCTTCTTACCAAGCCGAAGCTTCTACCTTGCTCACACACATTTTGCGAAGATTGTTTAACCGAAGTCCACTCAACTCAAGCACTGGGTGATCGGATAACGTGCGCTGTGTGTCGCTCTGTTGCATCTGTGTCCTACAATAACGTATCCAACTTCCCAACCAATCAAATTGCCCAGTCCCTTGCAGAAGATTTCAAAGAGAGATCGGACAAAACGAGAACGGCCGATTCAATGAATGGCGCTTCCTCTGGCCAACGTTGCACCGTGTGTGATGCTGATGATCAAGGGCTTGCTACCTTCTACTGTCAGCATTGTTCAGAATTCCTCTGCGATTATTGTCTTGAGCAGCACGATAGGTTTAAGAAGAATGTCTTCCACGAGCTCGTTAGTGCTAGGGACATCGCGTCAGGGAAAATCAGAATACAACTTGCGTGTCCGGAACACCCCAGAGAACTGCAGCAGTTCGTGTGTATCACATGTCTGGTTCGCACCTGTTGTAGGTGTTTGGAAGTGGGTCATCAGCCTGACAGGCATGAGGTCATCGGAATTGAAGAAGATGAAGAGAGCCACAAAGCAACAGTTGATCTTTTGCAGGAAAAAATAGAACAGAAAACTGCTGTGATACAGAGACAATCGTCCTTTGTCAAGGAGCGGATCGGCGTGGTTCAAAACATCATCGGTCAACGAAGGCAAGAAATCAAGAATGTCTTTGAGGGCGCTGTCGAACGAATACGACGAAGGAGAGATAAACTACTTGAAGAGTGCAACGCCTATGAGAGATCGCTCTGCGAAGATCTTGAAGGAATCATCCAGTGTAACGATGACTTCCTTCAGAACCTATCAGCCAAGGTTAATGTAGTCATCGAAGAGTCTACTGCTCAATGTGGAGACCAGTCGTTGTCTGAGCGTGCCGCACGAGTTGATGAGATTGAGGCTCTCGTGGAAGGAGACAATCCTGTGAATCTCATGCTGAATCTACAGCACTCCGTGCAGAATTACTGACCTTCCAACAAGCTGCACAGTCCAAGAGTGTCGACCTTGGAACTGTTCAGGTCAAGAACTTGGAGTTTCGAGAAACAGTGAGTTTTCGTGAAGGTGTTACCTGTTTGGCTGCGCGCCTGTGGCAGCTTGTGTGTGATATCTCTCGATTACTTGCTAAAATTCTACTTTTTATTGGAATTTTATATTTGTTGATTATAATGTGTCATTCGTAAATGTTGAAGTGAAGGTCTGGAATGAGCCATCTTGATGGTAGGGAGTTAATTATGCCAGCTATGCCAGGGAATATTGTGCTGGCAAAGTATTATGTTGATGAGGAGGAGGTGTATGACTAAGCAACTGTTTCGGGTTCCAAACATGTCGTGTACAAAGAGGGTTGGTACAGTCTTAGACTAATTTGCCACACCTCAATTTTGAAGCCAAGAGGCATACAGGATTTGGTTCTGCTCTGCAGATATTCACAGAAATTGCTGAGTATCTTTTAATGTCAAGAGACAGACGGTTTTGGTTCTGTTTAGCAGAAATGGCTGATATATTTGAGTTTTTTGATAATGCAACCATTGGTAAGCGATTTGAATGTTATATTTTACATTGTATCACTTGGTTGTTTGTTAATGTATGATGGCATTATAAATGTCAGGGAAATAAAGGTATGAAACTCCCCTTGAACTGTGTGGAAAAATGAAGTGTGATTTAGTGGCTTCTCTCTGAAAAAGAAAGGAAAAGAAAAATATTTTCTAGCCTTGGATTGTGAAAGATAGTTTAATTCCAGTCGTTCTATATAAATAAAATGAATAAGTGTTTATATATATATGTTAATTAATAGAGTATGAACACCGACTGGAAAATGTATGTATGTACTCTGAAATTGTGATAGCGCACGATGTTGGGACCACGTCCGACCTCGAAACCTGGTAGCATTTATTTTCCGTTTGATTAAAAACAAACATACAATACAAGTATATACAAAAGTATGAATGAAACGGCTGGATAACCCATATACAGCTGTGCCAGGCATGACACTACTGGTCTTCCAGGGGGTCCTGAAAGAGCCAATTGTTTTAGAGGGCTATAAAGTGGAGCTCAACCTTTCGCAAGAACGTACGGACATTTGGTTCAACGTCACCAGCAATGACTCGGGAACAATTAATGGTGAGCTGCATCATACCATCTTGATTTAGCTACAAATGTAACGTTTCAGACATACAGCGAAAGAAATCTTGGAAAAGTAGTGAAGACACAATGAGTTATAATACTAAAAGCGAAATTGATTGTCATTGTTGAATGGTATACGTGTTGGATGTGTCGATTGTTCTAAGACGTCTTATGGTTTAATAATTCGGATCATATCCGAAGAGTATTAGGATTGCCATTGACTGACTTGAACATGAATTAAAGAGAGTCATGTTTACTATTTCTTAAAGACTTTCAGGAGCAGAGGAGATTTGAATTCTATTTTGAAAATGATGTTGGTCATTTTTTTTTCTTTGTAATGACAAATGTACAATATTGTGGTTTCTTTTAAAATGAAACAAAAGAAGTTTTGAGTTGAAAAGATATTGTACGTAGAAGGTACAAAGTTTTGGATATTGAGATGTGTATCTACTTCAGGTCTGTACAGGTTAAAAGAGCATGGGATGCAAAGTGAACTAGACATATAATACTTGTTTGGAACAAGTATAGGTGGGCTGGTCTACTAAAATTTGACACAAAATAGAGCAAAAATAAGCGAGATACTGCTAAAAAACAATGTCATGTAGATTAATGATGTGAACGAAATTCACCTTCCATAGGCATACCACGCAACTTAAGCAATTTCTGATATGTGCCCTTTAATCGTAATTTTCACTATGATGACGTGATCAATATGAAAAATAGTGACAACTAAGCTTGTAGAAAATTGTCTTAGCTACAACATAACGAAATTTGGAAGAAAATCGATCAATATTTAAAGAGATACAATCAATTTTACATAAAATAATATGCTGACTTCATAAAATGCATATTCGTATTTTGAGTTCCAAGGCCATTATGATGATGTCACGATACACTTAATGGCCAAATTATACATGGAATCATATCTCCAACTCATACTCTAATCTAATTATGAAAAAAATTGAAGGTCAAGGTTCATTCTAAAGAGCTATAATGGATTTTGTATAGGCATGTTTTTGCCCATATATGCTATGTATTACATGTTCCCGTGCGCACGGCCATTTATCTTAAACGGTCGCGCATTCCGTTATAAAATATCATGAAAGAAAAAAAATAGCGTTTCTTTGTTGTGTAATGGCGTTACACGCAAAAACGAGCATTCATAATTTTCGAAATGCTTTAAATGGCCTAGAACATATTTTGTTTTGATTAAAAAGTGATTTTGAGCATTTTAAAATTCAGACGCGCGCGGATTTTGATGAGATGTTATGTCGAACCTTGACAATATTAATATCAATACCTTATACTAATATCAATCATCATGGCAAGTTTCATGATAATGGCTTTATTCATTCATGAGATATTCTGCGAACAAATTAATGGCAGAATAATAAATGGGAATAATAATAACTTGAATTTGTCACTTTGACAATGTAGGTGATACACATGCTATTGTTTTAAACAATAAATGAATGTATTTTCATGATTTTATATTATCTTCTAAAATTCTCTTCCTATTAAAGGTCTATCCATATGAAAAGTTTTAACTGTGTAGTATATTGACCATTATGGATCTATGGAAGATAGATTGAGAAAATGTATGACCATTGATCCCATACAATATTAAAAGCAGTGACACCTTTGACCCTAATTGACATAACGAAGAATTCCATTTTTCACAATTTCTTCTTCTTCCATGAAATGCTCTACCCGTCATGTTTTACCTAGATTGTGCTGCGCATAAATTCAATCGGATTATTTTGGGCTATTACAAGAAATGGGTTATTGATGTGGACAAATGCTCATGTACCCTTTAAGCTCATATTATGTATTTTATTACCAAAGGAAAAAAAATTGGTCAGTCACTCAATAGTGTCTGACAGTAAAGTCTAGAAAGTAAAAGGGTTTCCTTGTTTAATTTGAATACTAGGAAATTGCTAACGTTTAAATTTCACTAATAGGACAAACTTGACATATGCATAATTCCTACAATGTTCTACAGAATTTACAAATTTAACATTCAATTGAAAATGTTGACATGATCCCACCATCTGATTAAAAAACAAAAGGCACAACTTTTATAGCCCATAGTCTCTGCTATAACATACTAAAATTTGGGAGAACATAGAGCACAAATGAGCTAGATAGGGCTCAAAGATTAATGTCATGTAGATCCATGATTTGAACGAAATTGGCACCTCCCATAGGCTTAACACGCAAATTAAGAAAATCTGTCCAGTTAGCTTTAATTGCAATTTTCACTATGATGACGTCATCAAAATGAAAAATAATGTGCAGTGATCTTGTAGACAATCGCCTCAACTACAAGATATCAACATTAGGAAGAGATTCAATAAATATTTACAGAGATACAATCAATTTTTCCATAAATATGCTGACGTCATAATATGCAAATTCGTATTTTGAGTTCCAAGGTCAATATGATGATGACACGATATACTTAATGGCCAAATGAGACATGAAATCACATCTCCCACTCATACTCTATCCGAATATGAACAAAAAATGAGGGTTCCCGTCCATTCCAAAGAGCCATAAGGGTTTTATATAGGCATGTTGTTGCCCATATATGATATGTATTACAAGAGTTCGCGCACACGGACATTTATCTTGAACGGACGCTCATTCCCTTAATAATGGTCGTAAGGAGATAAACATGTTATCAAATTGTTCGGAAAAATATGAGGAATACTGTGTCAAAAGATACCCGGGAGGAATTATTTTGCGTTCGGCCGTGACAAACGAAAACGCGCGCGCATGCGCGTGCGCGCGACTCTTTATAAAATGCCATTGCTAATAATGGCGTACGCGCGCGTTTTTGGACCTGAAATTGACCGGACTGATATTGACCTTGATCATTATAAATATGAATGAGAAAAAACTTTCCGTTATGAAGATATGATCATATGTTGATTTTCACAAAATGGCGCCTAGATAACGTTTTCAGTCAAGGTCAAGGTTGAAAACCTTACTGTGCTCTTTCCTCATGCCAATAAATATGTGTGCCAAATTCAAGTTATCCTGCTAACAAAAAAGTGGGTCAAAATAAGAAAAATATTCTAACGAAAACATAAGGTGTTCTGTATTATATACAGCCCACCTGATTATTGGGGGATATATCGAGGTTACTGCAGGACCTAATCCCAGTGAATTGAGTTTATAAAAAGAAAAGCAATAGAAGTGTAGGGGAATGTAGGTCAATTACAGAACCAAATTCCAGAGAGTCAAAGGAGGAGAGGAGGAGTAGGAGTTGCAACAAGACTTGCAAGTCTTGAGTTAATAATCTGATTTCCATGTTATATTTTCATTGTAACCCTTGAGGTTAAATTTGGGGTAATATTCACATATTTGTGTTGGGCTTTGTTTATATTTTTGGTTGAAATATCAGAACTTATTGTCTTTGTTTCTTTCAAAACCAGAATAAAGTGAGGGTATTGCTGTTTTCATCATTTTAAGTACAGTTCAAATGTCCGAATGTTCTTTATCATGATTTGTAATTTTCAATATCCTGGCATTGATGCCATTTTGAAGCTATGCTATTATATGCAACTGATTATAACAAATTGTACATCCATACATATTACACTACAGTATATTTAATTAGTGGTGCTTCCCTTGTAGTCTTCTGACTTTTGTCCAGCGTTATTTAGACAATAAAACCGAAGTCTGATTGATTCGAATTCTCCTTCTATCCATTTTCTTTATTTCTCTAGCCTCTCCTCTTTATATTCTACACAAGCATACACCTCCCCCCCCCACACACACACACACACACACCACACACACACGCAACCCACACCCATGCGTCCCCGAATATGTGTGTCCAT